AGATGGGCCAATATTTAAGATCATATAAGAATATCTATATATATATAATTGTCGGCTAATAGCATTTAATAAAATATTTAATAAAAATTATTTCAATTTCTCTCCAAAAACTGTTACAAACTTTATCATTTATATCTCTCTCTATATTTAATTACCAACAATAAATTGAACAATATTAATTATTGTTTACCATCTTTTTATGTTACAATCTTCTATTATTATTATTAATCCATCATATCTAATTAATGTTAAAATATTTCATTGCACTTTTTTATGGTTAATTAAAAACAAAACCGTTACATTTTATATTAATGGGGTGATAATTATATTATTTTATTATATCATATAATAGTTGTTATTAAAACTAATAACTATAGTTTACACTAAATGATCTATGAAAATTAGATAAACATAAAAAAATATTGTAAACTTTTTGCTAAAGTTATTTATTCTAAAATTAATATTATATTTTTTTTTTATCTTATTTACCGATTGTATTTTTAAATAAGTTAATTTATTTTAATGTTATAGTAAAATTCCTTAAAATCGCATAATCAAATGTTATAATAATTTTAATATTTTTAAGCTAATAAATTGGCGATTTCTCAAAATTACATTATTTATTATATATTATGTTAATATAGAGGTTCATATGTAATCAAATAGTTATGTACTATTTATTTTAACCAATGATCAAATTTTAAAACATAATATCATTATCTTATTTATATTTTTATTATTATATGCATAAATATAACTTATAATACTCTATGTTTAAAATATAATATCATTGTGTAACTTATAATTTTAATACTAGCATAAATATAACTTATAATATTCTATTTACACTATGCAAATGCACAGGGTAGAATACTAGTAGTTGTTAAACGGTAAGATTGACTAAATTTCAGTATGCAATTTTATATAATTTTTTCATTCACTAACATTATTTACATTAAAAATTATATAATTTACTATTCTCTAGTCACTTTTAATTTTTCAACTTACCAAACAAATTCTAAAAATATTATATAAATTTTGGAAAAAAAATGTTTCAATATTATAAAAATATTTGAAAAAAATACAAAATTTAATATAATTCCAAAGTATAACAAGACAAATTAAAGGTATTTTATTAGGGTGTAGTTAATTAAAAATCTAAATACTTTTTAAAGTAATTAGTAACATCGGTGAACTTTATAAAACTTTAATCACTTTGATGATGGATATTATGGAATTTTCATAAAATGCGAGAGACTTTTTAAACTTTTGCCATGTACTTTTGAAACTTATTAAAACTTTTATATATATACTTATAATAATTATTATGTTTGAATGAAATTTGCATTATAATTTAGGAAAATAAATTCAAGCTAGATTATTCTATATAATTATTAAATTGAAATGAGTTCTGATAGCAAACACTAGCTTTTCAACAAGAAGAATAAAAAATTATTTGTAGCATTACAGTCGTGCAAGTGAAATATATATAAATCCTCTAAAATATTGTGAATCAATCATAGAATTGGTACTCAAATTGAGTTATTCGCGAACACTACTTGGTTCTGCTCGTGAAAGATCAAGCATGACTCATTTCTTTTCTTAAATGAGCCAAGCTTGGACAAATAGGCGAGCTTGTTTATTATATTAAACGAATTGAAGTGAGTCTTTTCATGAACTATTCCTTTTTCAATATTGTTGTATTTTTCTTATAAAATACATAATCTAGTTGAACTTGTTTGCAAAAATATTTTGTTTTTGCGAACAACTCATTTAGAATTTAAGTTTATTAAATGATCCAAGACGATTCAAGTTTCACGAGTTTCAATAAGTCGAACTCGAGTTGAGTCTTATGTCCGTTTATTAACCAATCACAAACCAAACATGAGTTGCCCATCTCGGCTAGAATGACACAACACATCAATTAGTCATGACATGATTATCTTATTATTTTTTAATATATATATATATATATATATTTATATATATATACATACACTAATATTTTACATCATGCTGCAATATTTTATATAAAAAATTATTGAATACGAATAGAATTTTAAATTGAATACAGTAAAATTTTAAATGCGTTAAAAAGATTTCAAGAGTTTCAATTGTATCCACAGGCGAATTGGCTTTGTTCCATTGGATTATTTCTAAGATAAATTTCCAAGGTGAGTTTTGTAAACTTTTTCGTTGGAAAATTTGCATTCAATGCAAAGAAATATAATGTTATAGTTTTATATGTTGTTATTAGAATTTTTCAATATATAAAATTTAAATATTCATTGAATTTTCTATAATGAAATGTTTTTACGTTAGATTTTTCACACAGAAATATGATTTTTGGTAGTAAATAGAAATAGTTGAATAATTTTATACTTTAGTAATGGAATAGTCCACATGAGTAAAATTTCACTAAATACATAAAAAGTTTTAAGAATGAAGACACGTTCAATTCAACTAGTGTGTATCCCGTGCGATGCACGAGAATAAATAATGTAGAATATATTTAATAATTTTGGCGAAAAAAAATTTTTAAATTTATAAAAAAGTTATTCTTTTTATATAATGATAGATGTAAAAAATAAAAATAAAAATGGGAACAACATGTAGTAGGTGTTGCTAAAAGATCGTCAATGTACATACCTAATCGAGAAAATAATACTTTGACCCAATGATCTCAGTCAAAATTATCATCCTATTTTTGGACAGTACCACGCACGTTTGTCCCTTTCTCATTAAAGCCAGTTCATTCAGCTCCTAACAACCATTCCTAATCTTCAGTGTCGTATATTTTGTGAATTATGATTTGAGATAAGATATAAATCAACCTATCAATAAAACATAACTATTAGGATAGATATCATCTCGAGCTGTATACAGTATATCAATTTGGAGTAAGTTGTGGAGCATTATAACTAGATGATGTGGTGAATTATAACGAGAGAAAAATGTACGATTAATTATAAAAGAAAAGTATCAAAATTTATCCATCCAAAGAAAAGTATAAATTGTAATTTCCAAATAAAAAATGATATAAATCTTGGTTTTTATTTATTTGTTTTTATATAATTAACTATTTTATTTATTTGTTTTTATATAAGTAACTATGTATATAGTTACTTATATAAAAAAAATAAGGAAAAACCAAGATTTATATCATTTTTTGTTTGCAAATTACAATTTATACTTTTGTTTGGATGGATAATTTATATGTATAATTTGTGTTGAAATATTTATTTTCTTAATTGATGAAACATTATTAATGTCTTAAATTTCTTTTGTTCAATAAAATGTTGATTGTTTTAATAAACATTGAAATATTTATGCTGCGTTTGGTGAAAATTTATTACTTTATTCAATAAATTTAAAATGTCACTTTTTAAATTGATTTGTTGGTCAGACAAATACTAAGACCATGTTTGGTAAAATTAGCTGATAACTGATAAACTAGCTTATAACTTATATGTAATTTTTTAGCTTATAGTTTATGACTTACAGCTGAAAAGCTAGCTTATATGATAAAAGTGTTTGGTAAAGTTAGCTGATAAACTAGCTGAAATAAAAATTTCAACTAGCTTATTTGAAAAGCTATCTAAACAAGCTTATGAGAGAAACTCAAGCTTTTTAAAAAGGTTTGTCCAACCAAACAAGGCTTATTTAAATACAAGAAGCTTAAGCTAACCAAATAAGCTATTGGTCTACCAAACATCGCCTATAGCTTATAGCTTATGACTTATAGTTGAAAAGCTAGCTTATAATAAAAGTGTTTGGTAAAATTAGATGATATTGTAGCTGAAATAAAGATTTCAACTAGTTTATTTGAAAAGCTATCTAAACAAACTTATGAGATAAGTTCAAACTTTTTAAAAAAGCTCGTCCAACCAAACAAGGGCTTATTTGAATACAAGAAGCTTATAAGCTAACCAAATAAGCTATAAGCTAGCTTATTTGGCTACCAAACATAGCCTAAAGTAATAATATGAGGAGTTATCAATTCACGGTATACCCATTATTATAATAATATAAAAATAACATATATTATCAAGATATTGATGAGTATTAAAACATATTAAATAAAATAGTATAACTATATTCTTATTGTACCAAATATAAAATTCTATAAAATACTATCCATATATCTTGCTACTACATATTATGGAATAAGTACATACTAATAAAAATATCATCAATATATATTATATTAATATCATACTAAGTAGAATACTATTAATATAAATATTGCTAGTACATATATTTATATATATCATATTAATAAAATAATATCTTAATATCATGTTAAATAAAATACTATCAATGTATCTAAGTCTAAGTATTTAATATAAAGCAGTTTGGACACTGTAGCTTATATTATTTTTTTATTTGACATGTTGCCTCACCTCATGACACGTAGAAAATTTGGATGTGAATTACCTTTTTTAGCCCTCAACATCCTTTCACAATTACAATTCATTTTTAATATTTTATTTTATGGAAAAATGTCTAGCTTTCTCTCGATTCTCGAAGCTTCATTTTTCTCTCCCGTTTTCTCATCTAATCCTTATGTTCGGCTACATCATTTTTCTTACTCGAGTGCAAGACAAATTGGCAAAGTTGTTCTTAGAACAATCAACCATTTTCGCCGCTATTTAATTCGTGCTCGCTTTGCACTATCAATGTGTATATATATATATTATATATATATATATATTGCNTAAACTTTTTGCAACAAACACTTTGACCGCCGAAAATAGCCTTCATAGTTCCATCCGAAGACCATCTGACCTTTTTGTAGCTGTCACCACATGCCATTTTTTTTTCCTTCCATTTAGAATTTGTGTCTCTCTCTCTCACCAGATTTCAAACATCAAATGGATTCATCTTCATCATAATCATCCTTCACACCTTATATAATCTCTCTCTCTCTCTCTCAAATCTAAATAAACGTAAGTTTTAAATTTATCACTGCAATTTAGCACCTATCTAGTAATTTATCAATGGACAAAGATGAAGTCCCCGAGCATTTCATCTGCCCTATCTCACTAGAGATCATGAAAGATCCGGTCACCACCGTTACCGGCATCACCTACGACCGAGAAAGCATCCAACGGTGGCAGTTCGAGTCAACCGCCACCAGCCGGACACCAAAATGTCCCGTCACCATGCAACCCCTCTCCGGCGTCCCGAACCTAACCCCCAACCACACCCTCCGCCGCTTGATCCAAACGTGGTGCTCCGCCAACCCGACCCGCGTCGTGGGCCCCATACCCACCGCTCCTCCGAGCCAATCCCACATCACAAGCCTGATCCACGACCTCCGCCACCACCCGAGCCCTCGAACCAGGCTCGAAACCCTAAGAAAGCTCGAATCCCTGGCGTCCAAGAGCAAACGTATTAGGGTTTTGCTCTCCGAGGCCGACCCAGCGGCCGACTCTCTGATATCGTTCGTCGAGTCGTGCCGCGAGAGTCGCTCTGCCGAGGGTCTGGAAGAAGCATTAAGCCTTTTCCATCTAATCTGGGCCAGGCCGCGGGCCGGCGACGAGCACGTCGTCGCCTCGTTGCTCTGGATTCTGGCCGAGGAGAGCTTCGACGACCAAACTGCCGTTGTGGTCAAGACGCGCGCGGCGTGCCTGCTGAGGGCCGCCGTCCAGAGCGTGGGCCCCGCGACGCTCGAGCATCTGAGGCTCGAGTTTTTCGAGGCCGTGCTCTCGGGCCTCCGGCCCGAGAACTCAGTCTCTCAGGAGGGAGTGGTGTCGCTGCTGCACGTCGTGCTCGAGACTTGCCTGTCGGCGCGTAACCGGGCGTTGATGGTCGAGTTGGGGGCGGTTGCCGAGCTGATCGAGGTGGAGGCGAGATGCGGTGGGGAGAGGAGGACGACGGAGCTAGTGCTCGAGATACTGTGCTACCTGTGCTCGTGCGCGGGTGGGCGGGCCCAGTTGGTGGGCCACCCGGACGGGATCCCGTTGGTGACGAGGCAGATGCTGAGGGTTTCTCCTGCGGCGGACGACAGTGCAGTGTTCGTGGTGTGGCTCGTGTCGAAGTACTCGGGCAGCGACGGGCACGTGGCGCGATTGATGGAGAGGGCCAGGACGCATGTCAAGCTGTGTTCAATCGTGTTGGCAGCCGACCGGAAGACCCATCTCAAGGAGAAGGCGAAAGAGGTCTTGAGGATGCATGCAGGCATGTGGAGAGTTCACTCGTATGGAGTGTCGATGAAGGTTTTCCACTGACAGTCTTAATCATATGATGAATTTAATCGTCGTCGACTGATTGAAGTTCTATTCTAAAACCAATTAGTAGTATGGATAGAGTAGCTTATTATACTAGGTTTATCAATGTGAGACATTTTTAAAATATTTGGTTAATCAATGTGAGATAACTTGTAAGTGAATATAATTCAAACATTTGTAACCTTTGGTTTTATGTTGTATGTAGAAATAATTGATATGGGTTAGTTTGATTTGGTTATCAAAGTTAAATTGGCGATGGCCAACATTAACTCTAGCTTAAATTGGTTTGATTTGGTTTTTATGAACTTGTACCGGAAAATGTTAGCAAATTATATGCTATCTGGGTGGCTTGGTTAATAGACTTACGAGAACGGTTTTCGTCATTGCTACATGAAAACAAACAACCGAAAGCCATACAAGGAAAAGCAATGAAGAAGCCATGAAAAGGAGATGGAGTTCTTTCATCATTTTGGTAAAATATATTTCTTGTTTTTAGTACATTGATTAGAAAAGCATTTATATGCAACAAGACATAACCCTACTAACATTCTACCATTAGATGAGAGTTAGGTGAGAGCAATCCACGGTCCCTATGCCTACACGTGTCAGAATATGTATCAGGGAGCTTGGGACCATAGTCAGGCTGCATGGCTTTCTCTCTCTTCGTGCATGGGTCCACAGTAACTCTTTGCTTCTCATAAGCTTTATCTACATGGAATTGACTAGTCTCAAGATGATCAATAAGTTTAACACTGCTCCTCAAATCGAGCGAGGCTAAGGAAGCAACATACAGTTTGTTCTTAAGTCGAGTGAAGAGTTGTTGACTGAGTGCCTTTGTCATGATATCAGCAACTTGATCACCTTGTCCTTCTTCAAAACCATATGGCTGTCTCATGTAGATTTCTTCCTCAAGAGTTCCATTTAAGAAAACATTATCTATGTCTAGGTGCATGATAGACCAGGAAAAGAAAGTTGATATTGCCATTATGATTCTAATAGTTGTAGGCTTCACAACTGGATTGAAAGTATCTGTAAAATCAAAGCCTGGCAATTGAGAGAATCCTTGGGCAACCAGCCTTGCCTTGTATCTGGAGACACTTCCAGCTGGGTTTCTTTTAATCTTGAAAACCCACTTGTTACCTACCAAGTTCTTTCCCTCAGGTAAGGTTGTCAAAGTCCATGTCCCATTTTTTATCAAGGCCTTGTACTCATCTTGCATTGCCTTTCTCCATCTACCATCCTTTATTGCCTCACTTGCTGACATGGGCTCCTTGTCAATGACCTGAGACTGAAACACTTTAGGTTTCAAGATTCCATGTTTTGATCTTGTCAACATAGGATGTTGATTTATTTGAGAGGGCTGCTCCTGCTCCTCATATCCTTCATCACTTTGGATAGGTGGTAACTGTACAACAAGTGTACAGTAGCATTGCTCATACTCTTGCTGGATGAACCTTGATCCTCTTGCTCAGATTGGCTTCTTAATGGACTAAAGCCACTTATGTTAGGTTCACTTGTCCTCTGAGGGCTCCTTGCAACATTTATCACTTCAGTGTTCACTTTGAAGAATTGTTCTAAGACAGACAGACTTATGGGATGAAAGGATGAGCTATTGTGATGACCTTCTTGTGGTTTATCTTCATAAGGAAAGACATGTTCATCAAAAAGCACATTTCTGGTGACAATAACTTTCCTAGAAGGCAACATCACCTTAAAACCCTTATAATAGGGACTATATCCCAAGAATATGCTGGGAGCAGACCTGAACTCTAGTTTGTGTTTATTGAGAGGTCTGGTGTGAGGAAAGCATAGACAACCAAACACTTTAATTAAGGAATAATCAGGTTTCCTTTTGTATAAGACTTCAAAAGGTGAAGTATAAGACAATCCCTTTGATGGAATTCTATTTATGATGAAACATGCAGTGGTGACAGCATCATCCCAGAATCTTGCAGGAAGTTTAGAGTGATGTAATAATGCTAGTCCCATCTCTATCAAGTGCATGTGCTTCCTCTCAGCAACTCCATTTTGCTGAGGAGTGTAAGGACATGAAATCCTGTGTTCTATACCACTTTCTTGGAAAACCTTGCTTAAGGTTTTGAATTCAGTTCCTCCATCAGATTGAACTCTCTTAATCTTGGTATTGAATTGATTCTCAGTTAAGTTCTTAAAATGGACAAAAGCATCATGCACTTCAGTTTTGTTTTTGAGTAGATATAGCCAACTATGTACACTGAAATGATCAACAAAAACCACATAGTACAGGTAACCATTTGATGATTTGATTGGGGCTGGTCCCCACAAGTCAGTATGTATAAGATCAAGAGGTAAATTAAAAACAGTAGTAGATGGCCCAAAAGGCAATTTATGAATCTTAGAAACTGAGCATGAAACACATAACTGAAAAGCATCATCAGAAACATATGGGCAGTTACACTGTTCAAGAGCCTTCTTAACAATATCCATACTAGAGTGTCCTAGCCTTTGATGCCAAAGTTTTAGGCTAGGAACTTTATTAACATAAGCATAATTGACTGAAGGAAAAACATAATTAAAACCAGGTACTTGAGGCAAAGCTTGAGAGTTCTTTACTGCTTGGAAATTGAACTGGTACAACCCATCTTTAACCTTCCCTTTGAGCAGTGTTGCTTGAGTTGTTTGGTCCTTGACAAGACAAAAAGTAGGATGGAATTCAAAATATACACCATTGTCAAGGGCAAACTTAGACACACTTATAAGATTCTTAGTAATGCAAGGAACATGTAAAAGCTCTTTAAGAATGAAGGCATTTGATGCATCTGAACACTTGAGAAGAGCATTACCAATGTGGCTGATTGACACACCACTTCCATTTCCCACTTGAAGTTGATTCTGGCCTCCATATTCAGATGCTATGTTGAGGTTACCAAGTTCATTTGTGACATGAGCAGATGCCCCTGAGTCTGGATACCACACACTCTCTCCACCAAAATCAGAACCAGCATAGTGAGTCAAGTTTAGAGTGTGGTTTCTGTTTGTTGGTGCATTGTTGTTGTTAGGTTGTTGAGGGGTGAAGTTTTGATCATACCTATTCCAACATCTATCAGCTGTGTGTCCCACAACTTTGCAAACTTGGCATATTGGTCTATTTCCACCTTGAAACCGGCTACCTCTTCCTCTATAGCCTCTACCATTTCCTCTTCCACCTCTGTTGGAGAAGGATCCTCTAAAACCACCTCTTGCATTTTTACTCTGAGTATTCTTCCTCTGATTGAAGTGAGTTGTGCCATTGACATTGGGTTGAGTTCCTTCAAGATGAGCATTTGGTACCAACTGAGAGTGAGTTTCCAGCCTGGATTCATAACTCAAGAGTAAAGCTTGCATTTCAGCCACTGTGTAAGGTTCAACCCTAGATGTGACTGTGACCATCACAGCATCATACTCATTTCCAAGTCCACTCAAGATATGCACTATCTTGTCTCTTTCAATCACAGCATGACCTACTGAAGCTAAATAATCAAAGCATACCTTCATCTGATTCAGATACTGTGTCATGGTAAGGTTGTTCTTTTTCAGATTTTGCAGTTGCATCTTGTACTGCATAAGCTTAGTTGTTGTTTGGCTTGCAAAATTAGCTTCCAGAGTTTTCCAGATCTGTCTTGCTGAGTCAAGGCCCACGGTTTGAATGAGGACTCCATCACTGAGAGAAGAAAGTAGCCAAGATGCAAGCAGCTGGTCCTGTCTTTGCCATAAGTGATGTTCTGGGTTGGCCACAAGTTGCTGTGATTCTGGATCCAGCCAATTTTCTGGTGGAGGATCTCCTTCTCCATTGATAAATTTCTCAAGACCATACCCTCTTATGGTAGTCAAGACTTGCTGCTTCCATATCAGAAAATTACTCTCATCAAGTTTGGTTGAAATGAGCTGACTTTGGGGAAAAACAAGAGATGAAACAGTGGTGTTAGATCCATGTGAGCCTGTCGGGGTTGAACCAGAACGAATATGGCTTAGATCATCCATTGAGAGGTACGAGGCAGATAATTAATGTTGAGGTGACCAGAGCCAGGTTAACAACCTGCTCTGATACCATGAAAACAAACAACCGAAAGCCATACAAGGAAAAGCAATGAAGAAGGCATGAAAAGGAGATGGAGTTCTTTCATCATTTTGGTAAAATATATTTCTTGTTTTTAGTACATTGATGAGAAAAGCATTTATATGCAACAAGACATAACCCTACTAACATTCTACCATTAGATGAGAGTTAGGTGAGAGCAATCCACGGTCCCTATGCCTACACGTGTCAGAATATGTATGAGGGAGCTTGGGACCACAATCAGGCTGCATGGCTTTCTCTCTCTTCGTGCATGGGTCCACAGTAACTCTTTGCTTCTCATAAGCTTTATCTACATGGCATTGACTAGTCTCAAGATGATCAATAAGTTTAACACTACATTAATTTCAATTTTTGCATGAAAAAAATTGTTTTGATTTGTACATATATGTGTTTGAAAAATACAATGGTATCGTGATCGATTTGCATGAAAAACTCGATATTGGAAGTAAGAATATGATATAAAAGATGGGTAAGTTGATTTCAGGTTTCAATTATATATTTGTGCTTTTTGCACTCGTTGCTATACGATGTTGGATTATTATATATATAAATAAGAAGAATGCTACCATCCCGTTACGGGATGGTTCCGTTGTGTTTTTTAGCCATAGATATATGAAAAACCATAAATATATGGTTCCCCTATAAATAAATGCATATATGAAAAATCAATATTTTAGTATATCAACTAGCTTATTACAAAGGCTAATATATGTAATTGATTAGGAAATAACTCGGGTAAAATATCTAGTACCCCCTTGTATTATACAAAATCTGCGCGTTTCCCCCCTGTATTTTAAAAATTGCGTCAAACCCCCTTCTATTAAGGTTTTGCATGCGCGAAACACCCTAAACCGTCTAAGATGACGGAAGTGGCGTGCACGCGCGTGCTGTGCGACTTTTTCTTTATTTTTTCACCCCAAAGTGGCGGAAATTACTGTTTTACCCTTGAATTATGTGCAAAACCCAAATGTTATGAAATGTGGGCAATAAGATTCGATCCTGGGTTGGAAACGAAGGGAATGGCTACTCAACCACTAGGCCATATTGATGGATGTGTAATCTATTGAACATAAATATATCTATACATCATACTGAAATGAATTAAATAGTTTGAAAATAAATAAATAAATAAAATAAAAGGATAATATGTCAATTTACTATAAATTAAATAATTAATAATAATAAAACTAATAACTTCCAATAAATTAAATTAACTTAAAATAATGAAAAAAATTAAATTAAAATAAAGTAAGATAAAATTTAATGTATTTGCGTGAACTAAAATTAAATAAAGTTATAATTAAATAAATTTTAAATGAGAAAATAAATACAAAAATGAAATTAATAAATAAATAAAATTAAAATAAACTAATTAAAGAAAAATAAAAATAATAATTATATAAGATAATAAAGTATAAAAATTATAATGTAAAATAAATAATAAATCAAATATCTTATTATGAAATAATAAATTAAATAAATAAAGAACTGAAATTAATATAATATAATATAATAAAAAATATTATTTATCAAATAATTTTAATATGATTTACTC